ACGTCTTGACCTTGAATGGCAAAATCAGAGCTCAAAAAACAAGTCTTGACATTGAGCATCACTAATGTGAAGGCTCCATCAAGCAGTAAACATCACAAACATTTATTATACCAACATGTAAGAAAAACGAAGAAAAACACGATGTTCTGATTTCTTCTGAGTAGTTAAGGAAGTCTCACAAAGGCCCAGAAGACAGTTTGTTCCACCTGCTGGCAAAACATGCTAAGTGGGCATCAAAGCTGGCTGTCCCACATCTGGAATGGCTAAGCTCTCATGCAGGGGATTACACATGTTGGCACTGAGTATTAAACCCTGCAGGTCATAAAAATGGTGACCCACCAGTAAATAGACACAGAGAAAACCACATCGCAGTGGAAAAATTACTTTTCATTTCATGGAAATGTCGTAGTACTGTCAACTTCAAGTCGAAGGATGTGTGAGTCGATACAAACAGATAAATAGACAAATGTACTGAAAATGAGAAATAAAGGAAGTATGGATACCTGGTGTGTGTTTCTAGCCCCAGTACAAAGCAGTGATGATTTGCACATCGAGCCATGGCCAGCCACAGAGGTGGAAACTCCCATGTAGCTGTGCCTCTCCACATCTCTTTACAGAGCTCTGCTGCAACAACCTAGATGACACTGTTGTGATTTTTTCCAAAGGAGGTGGGATAATGTGATATTTAATAATGTATCGTGCTTAGGGTACAAAAGAGGTCCCCACCTCAAATATAATTTAAGGAGAACATTCAATTAGTCTTCAATGAGCCAAGGACAAAGACACACCATCCAGATAGGGAGACCATTAGCACAAGGTCATAATGGTTTCTGAAGATCCATAACCTCACAGCTTAAATAAGGCTTGAAACACAAAAGACACTGTCACGAGTTCATGATTGGTGGCACACCAATACATCACAGTTATGATTGCGATTACAGAAGAGGCAACAGGACCCTGATTGGGTCACATACAATATGTTGGATAAAAGAGCTCACAAGGTTGGTCCAGAGCCTTCCAACCAAGGAGCCAGGCACAAGTAAAATAGAGCATGACTCATGACTATACAACCACCAGTACTGTGATCTCCATCTCACACACACACACACACACACAGACAAGCTCCATGGAGACTGCCCCTCCTGGGCTGGCTGGAGAATGATGGCAGCTGTACACTTTCTAGTCCATTCTGCCCGAGAGCAAGACTGTTCTGATCCTTCCTTAATGAGCTCTTCAAAGGCGATTCAGTGGGGGCTTCATCCGGGTTAGGACTCTGCGAATGGATTTGGGTTTTTACTATCATTCATACATTTCTGCAAATGGGGTGCTCAGAATTTAAACTTCTGATACAATGATTTTTTTTATTTGAGAGCCTACAAATTATTAGGAAATGTAGTGGTTGCGCATTGGGCTGCTAATTGCAAGGTCAGCAGTTCAAAACCACCAGCTGCTTTGTGGGGGAGAGAGAAGGCTTTCTACTCCCGTAAAAAGGTACAGTCTTGAAATCTCACAGGAGCAGTTCTCCTTTGTCCCAGAGGGTCATTATGAATCGGCATCAACTCGATAGATGGCACTGTGTTTGGTCTTGGTTATCCCAACCATTGGTCTTTTCAATCATTCGTGTGCATGTAAAAGCTGGAAAGTGAATAAGGAAGAAACGTAAGACTGGATGCATTTGGGCTTCCTTCTGCCGCTCCTGGTACTCTTGTGTGCTTGTTTGGTGAGGACCTGGGACCTCTTTTGTAATGTAGCAGCTGTGGAGACTTCGGTGCTTGCCATGGCCAATGAGAAGCCCACGGAAGGAGTCAAGACTGAGAACAATGATCATGTTACTGTGAAGGTGGCGAGGAGGATGGGCCTCTGGTGCAGTTTAAGATTAAGAGGCCGCTTAGTAAACTCATGAATGCCTATTGTGAACGACAGGGTTTGTCAATGAGTCAGAGCTGAGTCCAGTTTGATGGGCAGCCAATTATTGAAGCAGACATAGCTGCCCAGTTGGAAATGAAGAATGAAGAGAAGTAGATGTGTTCCAGAAGCAGACAGGAGGCGTCTTCTAAGAGGGAGCCTGCTCCTTTCCTCCAGAACTCTCTTCCTACGGACCAAGTATCCATCCTCAATTAGAAAAGCACAGTTTGGTTCCACCACATCCTGGCAACTACAGTACGGTTTTTCTCTATTCTTTCTTTTACCCTCCTCCATTCCTTGATTGTGCATAAAGTAACCAGTGCTTGTGCACAAGCACACTGCATATTTTTCCTTTGTTTCCTTTGTGCTTTTTCCGAAATGGCCAGGGGTATGTTCTGATGGACATCGAGTGGAGATGGGATAGTGAAGACGATACAGGTCCTGTGAGCACACCCTCTTCTCCAGGAAGGGCACGCTCATCCAGCGCTTCTCTTTATATGCCTGCTAGTTATTTTGCCGTCACCGTTTAACATCAACAACAAAAAGACTTGATGTATTTGAATTATGGTATTAGAGTCTATTGAGAGGACTGTGGGCCCACAGAAAAACAAACGAATCTGTCTCGGAAGAAGTACAGCCAGAATGTGCCTTTGAGGGGAGGATGGCAAGACTTCGGCTCACATACTGCAGACATGTTATCAGAAGAGACCAGACAGTCTAGAAAGGACATCCTGCTGAGTGACCGGAAGCTCAGTGAAAAAGAGAGAGACCCTTGATGAGCTGGACGGACACTACTTACAACAATCGGTCATGGATAATAACGGTGAGGATGGCACAGGGCAGGACAGTGTTTCCTTCTGTTGTGCAGTGTCCCTGAGTAGGACCTAGTTGATGGCCCCCCCACTACCGTGTGGTTATACGCTAAACTCAGTATTCTTTCCTTCTGTCTCAGTGGCGCCGGACAACCGCAGCAGAGATTTAAATAACTCAGATCCAGGTTATCTCCAAAGCTCAAATTTCTTTTGACTCATGTCTTTTTAGAGACAATGCCATCATGGTTTGTCTTTCCCTCTCATGACATGTATCTAGAACTTCATGTATGTGAGTTAAATTAACCCTTCCCCAGCATCCTTTAGTAGTCCAGTTAATAGCAAGATGATGTTGTATACACTTTGCTCATTTGGGGAAGGAAGGTGAGCCAAGTCAAGATCGCATATGTAACTGGCAGAATCAGAAAGCCCGGGTCATCGTGGGCAGCAGCATGAACTCTAGAATTAGAGTATTGTGACTGGAATCCTGCCCTGACCGCCTAGTAGGTGCTGCAGGACTTTGAAGGTATCCTTTAAGCCAAATTTCCTGTAGTTTAAGGATAGAGCTATAAGACTACTGTTATATACAGTCACTGTATTTGCATTGGGCAAATCTCCTGCAAAAGACCTATTTTCAAAGGATTCAAAAGCAAAGATGTCACTTGGAGGACCGATTAGCCCTGACCCGAGCTGTGGTATTTTCAGTTGTTTCAGAGGCCTGCGAAAGCTATCAAATGAATAAGAAAGACCAGAAGAGTCGATGCCTTGAATTTTCACATTGGCAAAGAAAACTGAATATATCTTGGGTGGCCAGAAAAATGAGCACATCGGTCTTGAAAGAAGCATGCCCAGAATGGAGTTTGTTTGAGGGCATTATCAAGAAGGAGCAGTCTCGGGGGTTTAAATGGACAGAAAATGTTTTGAGAAACGATGTACAAATGTGCTTTATACAATTGATGTGTGTATGGATTGGGATAACAGTTGTATGAGCCCCTAATAAAATGTTAAAAAAAAATTAAAAAAAGAAGGACCAGTCCCTGGAGCAGGACCTCCTGCTGGCTACAGTGTTCCATTCCGCCGTCCACAGTGTCGCTCTGAGACAGAACCTACGTGATGGCACCCAACGCACACAACACGGGGCCATCAGCTGACGTCTATTCTTCCCTTCTGTCGCTGTGCAGAGACTGCTTTACATGTTTTGTTGGACTCTTGACTATATACTTTCAAATTAGGTATGAATAAATGAGTTCATTTTCAGTTCTTTTAGGCAAGTTTTTGGGAGGGTAATGAAGGTAATGAACAGGCCTCATGTTGCTCACTTCCTTCCTTGCAGATCACCTGCTGGGTAGACATGCAGAGGAGAGATTTCTACTGGCAATAGGTTTGTTTTTTTTAATTGAGATATGGTTTCACATACCATGACATTAGCCTTTTAAAGTACACAACCTTTAGTGTCGTTGCAAACCTGGGCAGCAATCACCACAACCTAATTCTAGAATGTTTCCATCACCCCAGAAGCCTCTTTGATCTTCCTGTCTCCCTGCAAAACTCAAGCTCACTGCCGTCAAGTCAGTGCTGACTCATAGTGTAGCCACTATGGGTTTCTGGGACTGCGACTTTCGACAGGAGTGGAAAGCCCAGTCTTCCTCCTAAGGAGCTGCTGGTGGTTTCGAACTGCGGACGATGCAGATCACAGCCCAACTTGGAACCACTACACCACCAGGGCTCCTTCCCCAAGGCCTAGAATTCTCCTTTTTCTTTCTAGTTTGGCCTCTTCTGGATGTTCCCTAGAAATGGAACCCTGCATTATGTGGTGTTTTATGACTGACTCATTCCACTTAGCACAGTTTTCCAAGGTTCATGCAGGCAGTAACATGTATCTGTAAGTCATTTCTCTTTCGGCTGCATGATACCCGTTGTTTGGCTACTCCATGCTTTGTTTATCCATCACCCAGCAGATGAGTGTATGTGGTGATTAGTAGTTTTGTTTTAGGAAAAATGTTGCAGGTAATGGTACCCTCAATAGATCTCGATCTCAATCTCTCTGCCTCTCTGCCTCTCTGTCTCTCTGTCTCTCTCTCTCTCTGTCTCTCTCTCTCTCTCTCTCTCTCACACACACACACACACACACAGTTTCTTTTGTGACAAATTCTTTTATGGTAATTTTTTTAAGGCAAAGTTTTCTTGGAACTGGCTGAAAATTGCAAAACTGATTTTCTCCCCAGAAGTTACGTTTTCCCCTTTCATTGTATTTGTGAATGCTAAATTGATTCTGGACTTTTCTAGGGAAAAAGAAGAGCAGTTAACTCGGGTGACTGAAGTGCAGAGGCTGCAGGCCCAGCAGGCAGATGCTGCCCTGGAAGAGTTTAAGCGGCAGGTGGAACTGAACTCGGAGAAGGTCTACGCTGAGATGAAGGAGCAGGTAAGAAAGGAGCTACAGTCTCCTTCTCAGAGTCTTGCTCCCAATAAGACGGCCTATTCTAATCTGAACGAGGACAGAAACATATAGTTCACCTTCAGTTTAAAATAGCTTTATGAATAGAGTCTGGGGTCTTAAAGGGTTGTTTTCAAACAAGCAGACATAGAAGTGAGGCATCAACCAAGTCCACATGCAAGAAGTACACCAGCTTGTGTGATCCAAGGATTGTAAATAATATAATCCAATCCTAAAGGAGGGAATGGCCTCAGCGCTTCAATTGACAACACCTGGTTTGCAAAAGGCTATAGATGACAATGGAAGCCCCAAATTCATTTGCAGGGTTCCCAGATAGATTCAGCCTCTGGTGTCTCCTCTCTGATCAGAGTTGAGGGACGCCAATAGCTCTATTATCAGACAGAGAACATTATAAAGTTGATTATGGCAGATGTAATTAGGTCAAAATGTAATGTCTTATCATTTGATCTCCCTTTGATCCATTTTAAAGCTGTTTCAGTGAATAGGAAATACACATGCATTAAGCCCCTGGAGATGTGAACAGCCTTGCTATTGTGTGAAACGCACTGGAAAGTGGGTTGTTGCAGATGCAGATGCAGTGAGGTTAAAATTTAGCACCCTATCACTTGATCTCCCTGATGAACCATTTAAATTTGTACTAGTTGTTAATATTTTTTACTTGCTTTTCCATTGAGGTTTTTATCTGTTTCACTTTGTCATTGTTAGTTTTTAAATATTTTTCTGTATATGAAATCAAGAATAGGGTAAATCTATAGAGATAGTAATTGGATTGGTTCCTTTGGGTATGGTAGGGGAGCCTGGGGAGAAACGGGGGAGCTAATAATGATGAGTACAAGAATGAAGAAAATGTTCTAACACTAATTGTGATGATGATTGTACAACTCTCGATGTGATTGAACTATCGAATTGTATGTGGATTATATGCCCATAAAACTGTTTGAAAAATAGCCATACTTCCTCAAGGAAGACCAGTTGATAGGACTACTTTTCAAATTTATGTACCAGTAGCTAACACCAATGATGCAATTGAAGTTTTTAGTTTTGTTTTTTTTTTTTACTAACTTATGGTCTGACATTGACCCAATATGGAATCAAGATGTATTGAATTTGAAAGTCAAAAGAGAAAAAAGATTAGTAGTTTGAAAATAAGGCCTTAGTGATGATAGCAATACTGAAGATCAGATGAACTTTGTAAGACCAGTGACTTATTCACTGCAAATACATTTTTTTTCCCATTCTTTATTTTTATTTTTTTTTCCCTCTTTTTTAACATTTTATTAGGGGCTCATACAACTGTTATCCCAATCCATACACACATCAATTGTGTAAAGCGCATTTGTACATCATTTCTCAAAACATTTTCTCTCCATTTAAACCCCCGACATTGGGTCCTAATTTTTCCCCTCCCTCCCCGCTCCCCCCTCCCGCATGAACCCTTGATAGTTTATAAATGGGTATTTTGTCATATCTTGCCCTGTCCGACGTCTCCCTTCATCCACTTTTCGGTTGTCTGTCCCCCAGGGAGGAGGTCACACACAGTTCCATGTAATCGGTTCCCTCTTTCCCACCCATTCTCCCTTTACCCTCCCTGTTTTGCCACTCACACCACTGGTCCTATAGGGCTCATCCGTCCTGGATTCCCTGTATTTTCAGTTCCTATCTGTACCAGTGTACCTCCTCTGGTCTAGCCAGTCTTGCAAGATAGAATTCGAGTCATGGTAGTGGGAGCGGGGAGGAAACCTTTAGGAACTAGAGGAAGGTTGTCTTTCTCATCATTGTTACATCGCACCCTGACTGGCTCATCTCCTCCCCAAGACCTCTCTGCAAGCAAATACATTTTTTTTCAGCAACATAAGAGGAGATTTTTAAAAGTTTGTCAAAATTTCATTGTATTTTAATTCCATTTTCCAGTAGCTTTTTGAAACCCCTTGTAACTAGCAGCTATTCATGTGGGCCTCACCAGATAGAATACACAGACATCAAGTCAAGTACACTGTGAAAAGAGGTAATGATAAAGCTCATTATCATCAGTCAAAACAAGACCAAAGGCTGACTGTGGAGCAAGCGATCAACTTTTCATATGCAAATTCAAGTTGAAACTGAAGAATATCAGTACAAGTCCATGAGATCCAAAGTATGACCTTGAGTATATTTCACTTGAGTTACAGACTGTTTCAAGAGTAGATTTGCCACATTGAAATAATGAGCAGACGATTTGGGCGAGGACATCAAGAACATCATTCATGAAGAAAGCAAATGGTCATTAAGAAGACAGCAAAGAGAGATCAGATCAAAATGAATGTCGGAAGAGGCTGAAATTTGCTCTTCATTGAAGAGTAGCTAAACTGAATGGAAGCGATGAAGTCAAAGAGCTGAACAGAAGATTTCAAAGGGTGGCTTCAGAAGACAAAATAAATGATTACATTGTATGTGCAAAAACTTAAAGTTGAAAAACACAAGTGAGGAATATACTTGACACTTTGGAAGCTGAAAGAATTGGGGGGTGGGGGGGAATCGAGCTTTGAGTGGTATCTTTGGGCAAAATACTGAATGCAGGAAGCATCCAAAGAAGATTAAAGGAATACACAGATAATTGTACCAAAAAGAACTGGTACCACTTCAAGAGGTGGCATATGCTCAAGCAGTGGTACCGACGGGAGACGTGCAAGCTACACTGATGCATTGGCAGAAAACAAGGCTCCGTGAATGGTCGGAAAGCCAACTGAGGTGTTTCAACAAGTGGATGCAATGCGGAAAGCTGTCTGTCATCTCTGTCAAGAAATTTGGAAGCACACTATCTGGCCAAAGAACAGGAAGAGATCCATAGTTGTTCCCATTCCAGAGAAAAGTGACTTAACAGAATGCAGATATTATTGAGCAATGTGGCTACCTAACGCAGGTCTCTATGCTTAGTGTTACTCTTGCCAATTATGACCTACAGAGGTGAGGGAAAGAGTTTATCCTCAGTGCACCAAAGTTGACAGAGAGATATCCAACCTCAGATTTGATCCAGCCTGTTTTCTGGGATGGGCTGCAGCTTTTATAGGTTATAGATCTGTTAAACATACACAAATAGTGTATACATACACACAGTTGCTAAAAGCTACAATACCTTTTCATTACCGTGTTTATTGAACAAAGCTATTCTTCTAGGGTGGGAAGGGGCTGCTCTATGAGAATTTGATTGTGAAATCTTACCCCGTCTACCCTCCAGCTTTGATCTTGCCCTTTTAGGTGTCTTTTTGTTTTCTGAACTAAAAAAGAGGAAAAGGAACATAATTTGTGTTCCTTTCAGGTAGCGCCTGCCATGTTGACTTGGTGGAAATGGAGGAGCACAGAATTATTCTGAGATGGGTTACAGGGATGGATACACAGCCTTCAGGAGAGTATAGACCTAGATGGAGGATATGTTGAGAAACAATAGCTTGGCGTTTTGATAGTTTTGTTTGATACCCTTTCTCGCAATATTTTTTTACTTACCCTCATGTAATTTCATACTACTTTTCAAATCAGTAAGTGTGAGAGCTCGAAGTTCTTAATCAAGGTTGTTTGGGATATGCAGTAGCCTGTGAAATTCTGTATGTATTTGAGGATTTTTAAAGATAATTTCTGTGGAAAAAATTACTGTTGAGATTTTGATAGATTGCACTGAATCAAGATTGCTTGGGTGGTATTGTCATTAAACAACATTCAGTTCTCTAATCCCTGAACATAGGACATCTTTCCATTTGCTTAAGTGTTGACTTTTCTGCCTCAGTGTTTTCTAGTTTTCCGTGTATAAGTCTTGATCATCTTTGGAGCAAGACATGATTTATTCTTAAGCATTTTATTCTTTTTGGTGCTATTGTAAATGGGATTATTTTCTTAATTGCCTTTATGGATTGTTCATTATGTATATTTTTATCTGGCAACTTTGCAGACTTCATTTAGTAGTGCAAATAGTTTTTCAGATCCAGTTTGAAAACCAGCTTCTAACCTTGCAGATGGACCTGGCCATTTAGCATAGTTCTTGCGAGTGACATGCAAACAGCATAATTGACTTGCTATTGGTTGGATCTTGCAGGAAAGCCCCTTAAAAATGGAGTTTGCCTCAGCAAACACGTACCCTTTGACCTTACCTTTTCTACCCTTCACCCTTTTCCCTATTCCAGATGTTCCAAGCTGCAGAAGCCATTTTGCAGCCATTAGGGAAAGATTGAATTGCAGAGACCTTAACCCTGACATCTTTGAGCTGCTGATGCGGCAGCCTCTGCTTCTGAACGTTTTGCTACAGGAGATGAAAATAAGGCACTGTGTTGTTTCAGCGATGGGTACCTGGGCTTCCTTTCACATGTACCTAAAAGTAATGCCTCAGGCACAGCCTACAAGGGGACCTCAAAAGGTTCGTGGAAAAATTCCATGATCTTTTACTTCCATTTTCCCACCAACTTTTTGGAGCCCTCGCCTACAAGTCACATGTCACCGACTTTACCTTTGTTGTAGGAACACACTCGTGCCCTTCGTGTTCCAGATGCGGCCACCAAATTTCACTCTTGAGATTCTTTTGACACTCAGAAAGGGAGGAGGTTTTTGATTTGTTTTTTAAGTACAAGTTGAGTAGAATATGGAATGATCCATGATGAAGCAGAATTGTTTGTATCTATGGCAACCAGAACCCTGTGCTGTCCCACAAACGTACTACCTTACATGAGTTGGTTTTGAGTATCTATGAAACTGTGGAAGGAAAATGGAATGGGGTTTGGCGTTTTCGGTCAGTACAGTCATCAACAACTTGTATTTTGTTTTCTTATAATATCAACCGCTATTTACTCTGAATTTTTCCTGGTGTCCAGGTGCACAAAATCATTTCACAAGCTGTTAAGTTATCGTTGGTTTTCTATTTTTATTTTAGAAAGTACTTTGACCTAAAAGCCAACTTTAAGTAAACATGGTTCATTTTGAGTAATCTTAATAGTCATCAATGTTTT